CAGTACTTTTACTTTTAATACTTGAGTAGATTTTGTGTCAGAAATTGACTTTTGATATTTAAGTACAAAAAATATTAGATAAGACTTTTACTCAAGTATTCTTAGAGAAGACTTTAACTTTTACCAAAGTATTTTTATGATAAGATACTTGTAATTTTACTCAAGTATCACTTTGAGGTACTTTATACAACACTGGGCAGCCTCCCCCATTAAAAAATAAAAAAGAAATAAGAGTATTTGGCTTCAGTTTTGAATGATGTGAGGAAACAGACCCTTCGTCCATCTTTATTATAGTTGCCGGCCGTCGACCCTCAGTTCAGTTAAAACTAACTTTAAGACGAGCTCTTATTCACAGTTATCAGATTGCTGAGTCGGCAGTTTTTGCTGTTTTTTAACTGTCTCCTAAATGAAATAATTCTTCATGATGAGTCACGCTGAGGTGAGAACTGTGATCCCACCAGTGAAAGACTTCACAGCAAACGTTTAGTGAGAGAAACCACGAGTTCACTCAGTTCTTCTGGGACGACTCCAAGCTGTTCCCAGACATGCTCTTTCCRTCGGGTCTTCCTCGGGGGTCTCCTAACATTTGGACGTAGAAAACCTCCTTAAGGAGACATCCAGAGGGCATCCTTACTATTTTTTAGTTAATTTAAAAACCTAAAAGCACGTCTGAAATATAATTGTGTCATTTTGTTCGTCGCAGACATTTCATAAAACACTGTTACTGTGAAAAATGTTTTATTATCCACTTCTGAACAGGTTTAAACAGAGAATCTGAGCACGTCAGCAGCAGCAAAACCAGACTGAAGAGATTTTCCTAAAACAGAAATATCAGTCTGTTTCTATAAACACACAGTTTCTAACAGAGTGTGTGTCTTTTTTATTTGAATAAAGAAATAAACCAGAGCTCCGACTGAACCGATGCTGGTATTTTTGCCTCTTCTGTCTTGTTCYATAAATAACTCTGTTCTCATGAGTGTCCCTGCTCTTTTCTTGACATTGATATGTTGATTCAGACAGRAACTTCTCTTTTTTTCTGCCTCCTCCTGCAGCATGATGGGAAACCTTACTGCCACAAGCCGTGCTACGCCGTCCTCTTCGGACCCAAAGGTTCTTCTAACTTCGAGTCATTAAAAATGACGATCCCCTTCAGGTCTGCACCATTTATGGTTTTTCTATTTTTTTAAAGGTGTGAACATCGGCGGAGCTTGTTCCTACTTGTACGACTCTCCCGTCAACGAAGCCCCTGCAGCCGTTTCCATGGAAACAAACGCCGGACGGGGAGAGGAGAAGAAAGCCCCCACACGGGGACCAGTGAAGGGTGAGGAAAAATGTGGAGCAGAAAATAGAAACGCCGTCACATGTTTGAAAAGTGTTTCTGTGTCGAACGACTGGATTTATTTGTTGCTTTGCTCAAAACAGGGTTTTTCTATGAGGTGCCGTTTGTAAAGTTACACAGTCAGAAATGACCACCAATATTTTTGTTTTATTTAGACGTTTATAAGAAGAAAAGAACAGATTTATTTTTCAAAATCAGTTTTTCACCATATGGTTCATGCATTTAGAAATGTCGTAGTTTATAAACTAAATATTTAACTTAAAAATTAAATATTTAGTTAACAAGCTAAATATTTATCTTGTGACTTAAATATTTAGTTTTGAGCTAAATATTTAGGTTGCAACTTAAATATTTAGCTTGCCACCTAAATATTTAACTTAAATATTTTGCTAGCAACCTACATATTTAGGTTGCAACTTAAACATTTAGGTAGCTAGTTAAATATTTAAGTAAAATATTTAGCTAGCTACCTAATTTTTTTTAGGTTGCAACTTAAATATTTAGCTAGCAAGTTAAATATTTAGCTAGCCACCTAAATACTAACTTAAATATCTAGCTAGCTACCTAAATATTTAGGTTGCAACTTAAATATTTAGCTGGCTACCTAAATATTTAGGTTGCAACTTAAATATTTAGATAGCCACCTGAATTTTGAACTTAAACATTTTGTTAGCAACCTACATATTTAGGTTGCAACTTAAATATTTAGCTAGCAAGTTAGCCACCTAAATATTTAACTTAAATATTTTGCAAGCTATCTAAATATTTAACTTGCAAGCTAAATATTTAAGTTGCAACCTAAATATGTAGGTTGCTAACAAAATGTTTAAGTTCAAAATTCAGGTGGCTATCTAAATATTTAAGTTGCAACCTAAATATTTAGGTAGCCAGCTAAATATTTAAGTTGCAACCTAAATATTTAGGTAGCTAGCTAAATATTTAAGTTAATATTTAGGTTGCAACCAAAATATTTAGGTAGCTAGCTAAATATTTAAGTTAAATGTTTAAGTTGCAACCTAAATATTTAGGTAGCTAGCTAAATATTTAAGTTAAATGTTTAAGTTGCAACCTAAATATTTAGGTAGCTAGCTAAATATT